GAAAGACACCTTTTCTGGTGGGGAGGGAAAAAGGCTCAGTGACTGAGGTCTTGGGACCAGGCCATGGTGGGGGAAACACCAAGCTCACAAGCTGAGGCCCAAGTCAAAGAGCCAGTGGAGGAAGTTCCACCTCACCTGTAGTCTTTTGCTGAACCTAAAGCTTTGCCCTGTTCTCCACTTCCACAGGCTTCAGGTCCATGAACTCTTGACTAGGGGCGTGGCAATGCGGTAGACTGACCTTCACACAGGTTTTCTTGGTTGAGGACTGAGTAGGGCTGGGGCTGACTCAGACTATCATTGAATGAAGGACACTGACTCCTTATTAGTGAGCAGAGAGCTGGGTCTGAGGGCTGTAAAGTCTCTATGTTAGCCACAACTCTCAAGCTCACAGGGACACAGCCCTGATTTCTCAGGCCCCACTCTACCTAGTCTCCCTCTCTCTCATGAACCCAAGGACCAACATTTCTAAGTATTTAGAATAGATTCCTCCCTCAAGGGGCCTGACTTTGCACCCACGGTCCTGAGTCTGATGAGGTTAGAGAGCAGTTCAGTTCCTCCAAGCCCACTCCTCACCCTGTAGTATAAACCCAGACCAGGTTCCAACCACGACCTTTCAGGGCCTGGAGTCAGTGAGGCCTGAGACCTGTGTGGTGCCCAATACAGAGCTGGCACTCATTAAGGATCCTCTTTTTTTTTTTGAGACAGAGCCTCAAGCTATCTTCCTGGGTAGAGTGCCATGGCATCACAGCTCACAGCAACCTCCAACTCCTGGGCTCAAGCGAGTCTCCTGCCTCAGCCTCCCAAGTAGCTGGGACCACAGGCGCCCGCCACAACGCCCGGCTATTTTTTGGTTGCAGCTGTCATTGTTGTTTTTGGTGGGCCCAGGCTGGATTCGAACCCATCACTTTAGGTGTACGTGGCTGGCGCCGTAGCCACTTGAGCCACAGGCACCGAGCCAAGGATCCTCTTGAATGAATGACAGTCCCACCTCTAGCCACCATGTCCCTTCTCAATCTCTGCCTTTAGCAGTGATAAGGTCCATTTACTTCAGAAATACAGAGATGGCTGGTGTTTATATCTTCACCACCCTCCAGCCTCCCAGCAAGTTCTAGTTTTCCTCATGACTGCCTTTAGACATTGAAAATTTTCAGTATGAAAGAACTCACAACCCATTCCAACCTTCACAGAACTGGCAGACTAATACTGGATCTGGTAAGCTGGTTTGATGTCCATTTCTTTTACACTATGGTCCTACCCAAGCTTCCCCTCTTAGAGTAGGAGGCAGACATACCTGTGCACGAGGCTGGAGACACATCAAGCCTGGGGTGCCAGGTTTCCCAGGCTAAGTGTCTAGAGAAGGCATCCGAATCCCTGGGATCTGCTACTCAAAATGACGTAGGTCTGTAACATCCATCTTATCCAGTAACTGATTTCTCTCTTAGAAGAATAATACTCATGGGAGATGGAGCTTCAGGTAGGCTGAAACAGCCCATTTGGGGCCTGAATACTGTTTAATGTGGAAAAGAGTATTTGCATGCTAGGGAAAGTGTCTTGGTGACAAAGCTCCAGCTGTAGGAGTTAAGTGCCTGCAGCCCCCTCTCTGTCATCCCTGCTGTGCCAGGCATCTTCAGCATCCCCCACCACTGAAACTCTAGACTCAGAAATACCTCACTCAGCCACTGGGTAGCCATGATGCTGGGCTTCTGCAACTTAAGGTCTTGCCTTGGTGCTACTGTACCTTCACGAAAAGGAAGGTCTTTGTTAAACTGTTGGGAACTAAAAGAATTCAGTCTAGGGCTCATAAGTTCCAGTATACATCCCCAGGGTCTCTGACCATGAAATGGGACTTCAGTGGCCTCTTTCTTTTCCTATCAGATGACTGACAAGCCTTTCTCCACCTGAGTGGTGATGACTTCCTGCATAATCTAATTTTTTCCTTCATAGAAGATTTAGGACAATGGTTCTCATAGAGTGGTCTTTGGACCAGCATTATCTGGGAACTTGTTAGAACTACAAATTCCCTGGCTCCACCCAAGACCTACTGAATCAGAAGCTATGGAGGTATGACCATGCTGTCCATATTTTTTTTTGAGACGGAGCCTCAAGCTATCCCCCTGGGTAGAGTGCCATGGCATCACGCTCACAGCAACCTCCAACTCCTGGGCTCAAGCGAGTCTCCTGCCTCCGCCTCCCAAGTAGCTGGGACCACAGGCACCCGCCACAATGCCTGGCCATTTTTTGGTTGCAGCCATCATTGTTGTTTGGCAGGCTGGGCTGGGGATTCGAACCCGCCACCTTAGGTGTATGTGGCTGGTGCCTTAGCCGCTTGAGCCACAGGCGCCGAGCCCTGTCTATATTTTAAAAAGGCCCTCAAGGGATTCAGATGCATGCTTAAGTTTGAGAATCACTGGTATAGTATCACCTAAGAGACCCAAGCAGGACACCTCATTTAGTGATCTCCATGCAGAGAACTTGCCCAGGTGCCTGTAGCCTGCAGCTATGGAGTGTGTCTCCCCAAGGAAGGCAGAGTGTCCTACCTTCCACATTTCCAGCAGATAGCCCATCACCTGACCCCTGGCTCTGAACTGGGAATCTGCTGAATGCCTCTTCATGAGTTTTTTTCTTCCAGAAGGTGCAGGAGGAATTCTAATGGCTCTAGGCATTGCCATAGCAACTGTACCTTTTTGAAGCTGTCATGGACTACAGGAGCAGGGAGTAAGCAATGAAGAAGAGCCTGCCAGCGCAGAAAGCACAACAGGCAGAAGAGTTGCTCTGACAGTAAATGGAAGCTCAGCATGGCTGGGATTTATGGACCAGAACTTGGTGGAGCTGTTGCTTCCTCAAGACCCAGGATGTCCTTAGGTCTTTAGTGCTACACACAGCACCAGCCCTGCTGTGGTGCTGCATATAACACTGTCAGTATATGTCTCTCAAAAAAATCAACTACTTTGGTTAAAGCGGGCTCTTAAATGACCACAGCAATTAAGAAGGAAGCACACAGTATCAGATGAGCACCTGTGTTTTAGGTCAAGATTGAGGAAAGGGACAAACATCAGGATTCAAAGAGGCAACTCAGATGCCTGAAATAATAATGGATAGTCTAGCTCTAAAAGAAATCAACTGTCAGGCTCAGCACCAGCAGCAAAGTGGTTAGGGCGCCAGCCACATACACTGAGGCCGGCAGGTTTGGCCCAAGCCTGCTATAAACTATAATGACAACTACAACAAAAAAATAGCTGGGTGTTGTGGAGGGCACCTGTAGTCCCAGCTACTCCAGAGGCTGAGGCAAGAGAATCGCTTAAGCCCAAGAGTCTGAGGTTGCTGTGAGTTGTGATGCCACAGCGCTCTACTAAGGGTGACATCATGAGATTCTGCCTCAAAAAAAGAAAAAAAAATCAACTGTCATCCTGAACTTACATAACAACAGAACACAGAACACAATATATACTTGAATGCAGGTATCAAAGCCCTCATGGCCCTCTCACCCCCCTCCCACTACCCTCCAGGTGCTGGTAACAGTGCGAGGCCAGGGCTCTGCACCTCTCCATGTAGGTGAAGAAGTCAGTATTCCTCATCGGTAAAGACCCGGCCCAGGAGACACTGCTCACCTGCCTTTGGTAACCAGCTGGCCAGAGCGCCCAGCTGCTTGGAGGCCACTGGTGCTTGTAATCTGTTCCTTTGGCTCTTTCTGTCCCATAAGAGGGAAACAGCTCAAGTGACGAAAGAGGAGGTGGGATTCTGCCTCACCCTCAGGGGGACAGTGTACAAAGCGTGGGAAAACAGGATAGTGAGGGACACATGGGGTCACCAGAGTCACCTCCAAGACCTGTGGTACTCTCACACCTGATCTCACCATCAGTTGGCACTGTGTCTCCAGAACTTTCCATATGGTCACACTCACCGTTACCATCTCTGACCCTCCCAGGCAAGCAGGAATCCCTGTTCCCTGAGTGTGTGTGGGTCCTTTCCTCTGCCTGAGCCAGCATGAGTCCCCAGCGCCTCAGTCCACCTGCGGGCTGGGCAGGCTCCAGTAGGGAGAGCTTCCTCCTGAGGCTCGGGGAGATGTTCTCCACACTAGAGCCAGCCGCTAGTCTCCTGTTTTCCTTTTCATACTCTCCCAGCTGGAGTGATCCAGGCTGCACCTGCTCTCATACCGCGCACTTAGGACACTGAGGGCCTCGCCCGACAGGGCACGGTTGCATCCACACCACCTGCCTTGACCTCCTTTAGGAATGGGAGTAACGAGAGTAGGCAGGTGGAGAGGAAAGGGTGGGAAGATTTAACCACTACCCTTTTGTTTCGCCCCACCGCTTCTTTCCTGGGTTACGAGGACCATCTCCCCGCCCCGCCCCTGGCATGGGGCGCCCCGTTCTACACTGGCAGCCTCAGGTCGGAGAGCAGGGGTCGCGGGGGATTGGGGCTCCTGGAAAGCCAGCTGTGGGCCCTCTCGCTTCATCCCAGTCACTGCCCTTTATAAATATTTATAGCAGTTCTTCTACTAAAAATAACATCCTGGAGCCCAGAGAGGAGAAAAACATAAATGAAAATCACCGGGAATTGGACTGCGATGGTCACGTGTGCCAGAGCCCAATGGAACCCCGGGGGAAGAGGCGGCGAGGGCGACGCCCCCTGGCGGCCCCGGCAGCGCCCCCGGCCCGGCCCGGCCCGGCCCGGCCCGGCCCCTGCACCGCGGCACAGCTCCTCCTACCGAGGAAGCCGCACGGCCCCTCCCCCGCGGGCTGCAGATCAGCGGCGCATCCCTGGGGCGGGAGGAAGCCTAACCAGAGTCAGGCTATTTTTAGTACTGTGGCCGGGGTGTGAATGTCTATAGAACTTTGCAAGGCCTGACGCCTTCTTTGCACGACAGAAGAAACCTGTTGGTTGTTAAAGGTCAAAGGTAAGGAGCAAACTTGTGTCCCCATGTTACTAGGGCGCAACCTGAGTGCTAGCCTGACACCAGGAGGAGATTCATCAGGTCACAAACACACACGGGCACAGCGTTTTTTCTTTTCTCTTTTCAACCTCCTGGTAAGCTCCTGATGCAGAAGTGAGACCATGCCCTGAGGGGAGTGATGGAGATGCTAGGACATGCAGGGCTATAGGGGAAGGCCCACCAGCTGCTTCGCAGTTCCCCGCCCCCCACGTCCCACCACTCTAGCTCCCCTCTCCCCGGCGGGTGAAGTGACGTCTGGCAGCCTGTGAGCTTGGTCCAGGTGTGCAGCGGAAAGATGGATAGGAATGTGCCTCTGGGGGAAGACCTTGCCTTCATCGGGTTGGTGCCAACTTGCTCGACGTCCTCTGAGCCTGTGCAAGACAGACTCACGGTTAGTCACGGGCGCTGCTGAGGGCTCAGGGCAAAGGCCTCCAACATCTGCTGTGAGGGAGAGGATCTGCAGGAATCGCGCCTGATAGGTGTGGGTGTACAGGGGCATCCTTCCTTCCAGTAGTACTTAGGGTCCTCTGCAGTTATTTCTTATGTCACTGGCTCAGGAAATGTTTTCATAGAGGAACAAATGAAACGACTGAGTCCGAGATACAAGGTTTAGAATGTGGTGGTTTCTTGAAAGGAACTGTGGCCCAGGAGAAGGGCAAAGAGGACCCAGATGTGCCTATAAATACTAAGCGGACCGGAAGGAAGCCTTACTTAGCCCCAGGCCAGCAGGGAGCAGAACTGGCGAGTCCCTGAAACTGAGGCATCTGTATTCCTATGCTTTTCATGTGACTCTCCACTGTTGGTGAGTTTCTCATAAATGCATGATGTGGGAGGACAGAATTAGGAGGCAGAAGACTCAGCTCTGACTCCAGTACTGACACCAACTCCTGGGGATGGGGCCTTAGCGTCATGTGCGCCAAGATGGGGTGGGCCAGACGGCTCTGACGCCTTCCTCTACACCCCAGCTCCCTCTGCCCCAGGGAGAGAAGGGCTCAGGCAGGCTTCTGCAGGGCGAGTTGGTTCCTGATCTTCTTTGCTGGCTGCAGCGCCTAGGCTTGCAGGCCTTGCCCTAATGTGCACAGTGTAGGGAGAAGCCTCTCTCCAAGCCCCTGGGGCTCTGTGATTTCCAGGGAAGGCATGTTGCCAGGTGCTGCCCACTCTGCAGCTCTGCACCATCCTGAGTCAGGTGGGGGAGGGCAGGCTGGGGGAGGCCGCATGTTGGGCTCCTTTCTTGGGATACTTCTACTTAGAAGGGTCTGAGAAAGTTCCTTTTCTGGAACTGTGGCCATGTTCTTGTTTTTTAACCCTTAAAAAGATATCTAATTTTTTAAAAATAAGAAGTGGGGAGGGAGAAAGAAGAAAAGATTTAGAAATAAAGAGGTCTCACAACTGCACCAAAGGAATTTATACTTGAAGGAGATGTTGAGAACTGACTGATCTTCAGTTACGTTTGTCCCTTTTAGGCAGCATAGCCAGTAGTTGTGGTATTTTGGAGCTGGGACTAGAAAGAGTTAAGGTTTTGAGTTGGAAAAGGGGGACTGACTAATTCCTCAAGGTGAGGGCACTTGCCTGAAGGCAAGTCTGTACTTTGATTCATTTGTTCCTCAGGAAATAAGAAGGTGCAGCCTGGTGGGGCACCTGCATGCAAGCAGCTAGTTCTGCTTTGTAGTCACTGTGATCCTCAAATGTGTCTGTGGGTCAGGAGCATGGGAGGCAGAGCAGCCTGGGCGGTGGCCATGCTCACCATCACCAGGGCTCATTTCTTTCTTTTTTTTTTTTTTTTGAGACAGGAGCCTTAAGCTGTCCCCCTGGGTAGAGTGCTGTGGCATTTCAGCTCACAGCAACCTCCAACTCCTGGGCTCAAGCAAGTCTCCTGCCTCAGCCTCCCAAGTAGCTGGGACCACAGGCGCCCACCACAACGCCCAGCTATTTTTTTTTTTTGGTTGCAGCCATCATTGTTTGGCGGGCCCAGGCTGGATTCGAACCCGCCACCTTGGGTGTACGTGGCTGGCACCTTAGCCACTTGAGCCACAGGCTCATTTCATCCAGCAGTGTCAGGTCTGCCTGACAACCACTGGACACAGGGGACACTAGGCCATGTCTGAGGACCAGGCTCAAAGATAATGCAGTGACAGTCCCTGGCCCAGAAGCAGAGCCAAGCGGGAAGGCTGGGGCAGAAGGGAAGGTGCAGTGGGCTCTGAAGAAAATCCTGTGTCCCCATCTGTTCAGATGAGTCTGGCCTAGGACTGACAGGGCAATGAAGAAGGGAGAGGGCTGGGGAAGGGCAGGGTCATGCTCTATACTCACCCCAGCTTCCTCTTTGTCTGGGCTCCTCTGCTAACCTATAGCAACATGGGCAGAAAGAACACACTGAGGTCACACCCAGGGTCTTCTCAGTCTGGACCTTCTCCCATGGGGCTTTTCTGACCCATCCACCTCATGGACTTCTGGACCTGCCTCTCCCCTTTGTTATTTAAATGTTGACTGTTCTCAATCAGGTATGATAATGGGGTACAGTCATGCTATCTGCAATGGCCAAAACAAAAACAGAAGAAAAATGACAAAGAATGAAGTGGAATCAAAGCCCCCTTAAATTAGGGAGCAGTTATCTTAGGGGGTAAAGGTCATCTGGTTCTGAAAGTTAACCAAGTGAAAATGAGTGAGCCTGTGATTAGGGCGGGCTTTTCCTCCCACAGACCTGTACTCCGGCATCATGCCATACCAGGTTCTAACTCACCCGGGAATCTCAGCACTGCTGGGACCCTCAAGAGCTTGTGTTTATTCTCACAGAGGCTCTCTGCTGTGCAGATGTGCACTGGGGACATCTCTCTAAATGCACAAACTGCACTTATAGCTCCCAACTTCAGGGGTGGCAGGTTCTGGGAGAGGAGATTCTGAAGGACACAGAAGCATAAATGAGGCTCTGGAGAACTGGAGGGCTCTGAGGTGATATGGGTTGTGTTAGCCTGTCACTCATCTGTATAGTCCTGGTTACACTAAGGGTGACAAGATACGAGGTAGGAAGGGTACCCCAAGAGAGCAGAAACACTCCCCAGGACACAGCCACACAGAGCCAGGGTGGAACAGGAAGAGGTGTGAGGGGTGAATATGGCTGAAAAGCCTGGCTTGGTCCAAATTCTTCAAAAGTGCCCATTTGGCTCTCCCTGGCTTTGTATTGAGTGGCTATATTAGCCTGACTGGGTGCTGGCCAAGTTGGGTATATATTAAGTCAGCATGATTCCAACCCCAAACAAGCAAATATTCTCTCTATGGTTGGTAGTAATTGATCTCTAATGCCCAGAGGACTGTAGCTACTGCTAGGTCAGTTTATAGTAAAATTTCATGCCTAGATCATGGCAGAGAATCGGAAGGTCTACCCATAAAAACAGAGTCTCACAACAATGCCAATATATAAGAGCCACATAGTAGCTTCAGGAACATATCCTAGGACCTATATAATGTTAACATTTAAAAAAACTCTTTTTAAAATTCTTAAAACATTTTTTGAAGAATGTTTAAAAAAAGTCTTAGGCTCACGCCTGTCATCCTAGCATTCTGGGAGGCTGAGGTGGGTGGATTGCTTGAGCTTATGAGTTCAAGACCAGCCTGAGCAAAGGTGAGACCCTGTCTCTACTGAAAATAGAAAAACTGAGGCAAGAGGATTGCTTGAGCCCGAGCTGGAGGTTGCTGTGAGCTGTGATGCTATAGCACTCTATCCAGGGAGAGAGCTTGAGACTCTGTCTCAAAAAAAAAAAAAAAAAAGTCTTAACATTCTTGCCCTTAGGGATGACACCCAAAAGCCACAGAAATGAAAATTCAGGCATCCTCACAAAAAGATTTCACATAGACATATACAAACTCTGGTATTTGTGCTGAGAGAGAGGAGATCTAAGGGCAAAACACGAACAGAAGAGATGTTGACAGGCGACTTAGGTGCTGACAGGGTGCCCTGAGGCCTGGCAAGGGCAACCACACCCAATTCACCTGTGAGCCCCGGCCTGCTTTCAGACTGGGGCCAGGAGGAAGGCTTAAGTGAGGAGCAGAGTCCTAGGTTTGCTTTAGGAGAGTAGAGGGAAACTGAGGAGAGGTCATAGGGAAAGCCACCAGGGAAGGGAGGGCATGTGGGACAGGAGGCCAAAGAAGCAGCTGTTGCGTCTTCAGCTGGGAACATTCCACGTGAATGCTGGATTGGTTGGTGTGCATGTGTTTTCAGAAGTGTGAATTTACCTGTGTATTTGCTCTTTACCTTGTGCCCTTCTGCCTCCCTTGCTGTCTGCATGGGGACATCGGTCATCTCTGCATATTCTATGTAGCGTTTCTGGATGTGTGAAACACTGGGGCTCTCTAACTTTACCTTTTGATGTCAATGCCAGATAGGTCATTCTCCTCAGTTCATCACAGGCACTGTCCCCGCCCCCCAGGCCTGGCTCTTATTCACTAGGTGTGGTCAGCACCTGCAGGATGATTTCCCTCTTCTCCCAGTATCTTCCTCAGCAATCTCAGTGCCCCTTTCTGGTAAATTCGTTGCCCTCTGAGGAGCCAGCGACCTCCCTCTGTTATCCACACTGGCCCGTTTGGGCCAGCAATGCGTCCTTACCTGCATCTCCTACTCAGTCAGCTTCTCCCCTTCCTTAAGGCATTTCCACTCCACTTAGTCTACTAGTTCTGCTCAGCCCCAAGCGTGGGTGTTGGAGTTGGAGATACCTGTGCCAAAGGCAGGCTCTGCCATTTGTAACCTGGCAGGTTATTTCACTCCTCTTGGCCAAGTCTAGAAATCTTCCCTCAGAGGGCTGTGAAATTGAACCAGGGCGTGTTGTGTGCTCAACATTCAACAGGCATCCGTGAGGGGGCTGGTGCGCCCCCCTCCCCTTTCTACCTTTGCCTCCTTAGGGTGACCACTCCATTCCTCTCCCCAGTAAGGAGCTCCCAACCACATCACCCTAGTTACTGCCTTTGATTTGTTCAGTTACTGACAGCTCCCAGTGTTGTAGGCACTGGGAATACCACATGAACAAAACAGACTGAAATCGCCACCTTAGGGAGCTTACAGAATGAAGGAATCCAGCTCTAGTCACCTTAATAAGTCATGGAAAAACAACTAACTCTCAAGTATCCAAAGAGAATTTTGTTTTCTGTTCAGTATGACATAGAAGGATGCAGATTAGGGCACGAGTCTAGAGTCAGAAAGACCCAGTTCAAGCCTGACTTCTGCCATGTCATGGCTACATGGACAAAATCTCTCTGAGCCTATTTCCTTCAGAATATTCAGTAAAATGGGAATATTCTGCTCTGGTTCACAGTGTTGTTAAGGATCATAGGGGATCACACATGATCATTCAGTGCTCTTCCCAGGTGACAAGCATTAAAAGGTTTTATATAAAATGAAGCCAGGAAGGCATTATTGTCCTTTGCTGACAGCTTTCTTCTTTTATTCTTCCATGAAGCCACAAAACCATTTGGCTATTCTAGCTCACAATAACCTCCTCCTTTCCAGAAACCCTTACTGTACTTACACATGCAAAGCTTTATGATTAACTTTTTCTGTCACTTCATTTTTACTCTTGTTTATCTTGCATGTCTTAGTCTCGCTTTCCTAATTAGGTTATAGACTCCTTGAGGCAAGGGGTCACGTTTTGTATTTTACTTGTATCTACTTCCTGGATTCCAACCATCTATCACAGTATCAGGAAGAAGCTTGACCTTCAGATGGGAGAAGTAGGTGTAAGGAACTGCAGGGGCCTGAAAGCTTTGGGAAAGGTGGTGGCAGGAAGGAGTCAGAGACAAGGGGGGTTCATTCATGGGGTAATAGCTCTGCTCCCCATTCAATCTAGGGGTCCTGCGGAGCTGCCTTTACCTCTCTCTTTCCCATTCTGCATCTTCTCTTCTTCTTCCTCTGCACCTTCCTCTGCTGTGAAAACAAGTCCAAGGAGGCCAGTGACCCTTCAGTGTCACAAGCATAGAAAGAAGGTAACTTCTGAGGCTAGGATCAAACCCCAGCTACAGCTGCAGGCCTCCAAGGGTGCTCAAACTCATCCAACCTGCACCTGTGTGGTCCACACCCCAGCAATGTTGGATAGGGGCCCCTAAGCTCTGAGCCCACAAGCAGCAGCACAGTCTGATGTCACCTATCCTGCTGCTGGCTTCTCTGGGGGCCAGGGTTGGGGCATGGCGTACCTGCCTCTCCTCTATGCTTCTGTTCCCTGAGGTGCTGACATCTACCAGGGATATATCTAATATCTTGTTTTCAGTTTCAAGAAAGCAGCTGTAAAAGTACACAGTGGGGGAATACCTAGAGTAATATTAGTTTCTGTAAAAAAAAAAACAAAAAACCCAAAAACAACCCCCACCAGGAGTTATAGCTGATGACAAACTTAAAAATGACTACAAAGTGGCTGTTTAGGCAAAGCTAATGTTCATGAAGGTGCTTTCTCAGGGGCCCATGCAAGGGGCCACGGATGCCCCAGGCTCTGTAGGATCGAGATTCCCCTGTGATAGACAGCATGTGCTCAGTCCGGGGTGCTCACTTTGATTTGTGGGGTCTTGGAAAACTGGACCACATCCTTGTGGTCAAGCAGGGTGGTGAAGTGTAAAGCATGCCACATTCAGAATGGCTGACAGAATTGGGCATGGGAGCCCAAGGAAGACAATATGCATCAAAGAGCCATGTCATCTGCCACCACACGCTCCAAAGGCCAACCTGCAGGGGGGCATTGGGCTTATTCTGGGCGGCTTTTGGGGGGTGGAGGAGGGGTCAAGGATAAATCAGTTACAAAAAAGCAGATTTTGGTTTCCCAGTAAGGAAGAACTTTCCAGTGTTTAGAGCTGGTCACAGATGGACTCACTGGAAATATTCAAATAAAGGGCTTTTATATTAGGTGGCAAGTTGGATTAGATGACTTCTAAGACCCTTTCTAATTCTAGGATTCTGTTATCTGTGAAAATATTTTTTAAAGGACAAGAAGGACAGCCTGGCACCTGTAGCACAGTGGTTACAGTGCTGGCCATATACACTGAAGCTGGGGGGTTTGAACCCAGCCCAGGCCAGCTAAACAACAATGACAACTGCAACAAAAAAATTAGCCAGGTGTTGTGCTGGGTGCCTGTAGTCCCAGCTACTTGGGACACTGAAGCAAAAGAATTGCTTAAGCCCAAGAATTTGATATTGCTGTGAGCCGTGATGCCACAGTACTCTACCGAGGGTGACATAGTAAGACTCTGTCTCAAGAAAAAAAAAAAGATGAGAAGGACAAGCTATGGATATATATAGTATATGTATACCATAATGTATCTAAAAATAATCTGAGTATCTACTGTCATCATAACAAAAACCTGTAAAATTACTATCAAGGACATAGTAAAAAGCAAAGGTGTTGGGCAAGACTGTTCCATCCATTGAGAGATGGCCACACTCAGATGTGAAGGGGGTTTGCGTCTTCCGCCCATCGAGAGATGGCCACGCTCACAAGTAAAAGGGTTTACTTCCATATCTCATAGGGACACCGTGCCATGTGTGGATTCAGTGCATGGGTAAGTAGAGCATGGGGGAAGGGGCACTTGTGGGACTCTGGGTTTGCCATCTTGTCCTAGGTGGGATAAAAGCACTGGCTTTCTGTTCTGAAGACCTAGGCTGTTCTAGGGCCAGCCTTGCCCCTCATGATGCCCAACTTTAGGCAGGTCACTTTTCTGATACTCACTACATTTCTAAAGTAAGGTGACAGGTCAGTGTGATCTCTAAGGTACCTTCCAAATTATACTCCACAGTTTTGTTCAAACCATCCTTTCCTATTAGGAGAGGTTGCTGAGTATCCCTATAAACTTTTAGCTGGCCCCGGGCTGCATTTGAACCCGTTAGCTCCAGTGTATGTGGCTGGTGCCCTACCCACTGAGCTATGCATGCCACCTAAACTTTTAATCTGTGAAGTTGTTTGGTCTCTATGTGCTTATGTTTAATGAAGTCCAGTGTCCTCTCAGCCTGGTGTGATGAGTTTGGGAGCCACTTACTGTGCATAAACCCTAACAAGTGGCCCTAAGGCACAAGTGTGGTTAATTTCCATGGTTTGAAATCCCCTAAGATATCCTCTTAATGTGAGATTTCTGTCATCTGTGGAGAGCTATAGGAAATGGGGGCTGAGAAACTACCAGAATGGAGAAATGGCCCAATAAATCTCCCTGAGCAAGAGAATCAGCATCTTAACTGGAAAGATCAACTCAGGCCACATACTCATTCTCTTCTATATGAAAACAGGCAGACTTGAGAGCAAAGCTGTGGGCCAGACCTTGAGTGGTCCCATGACAACCCTAAAGGCACATGCTTTCTCCTATGAATGTCTCAAAAAAAAAAAAAAATCCAACTCTCATCTTTCCTAAGAATGTTTGAGTAAGTATGTGTTTTAGTGTTCCATGGATTAGCTAGTTTATATTTTTATTTAATAACCCTGTTAAGCTATGTCAGGGTATTTAAAAGCACTACTACAGTGCTTAGGAAGGGAAGCCATGTGTTTAATACGTGACACAAAAATCCTCCCACTGTAAAATAATTAGTAAATATCTGGCAGCTACGTAACTGATGGAGTCACGGGGATACTTAGAGATGTGATGATACGTGAATGGCCTTTTTACTTTCTCTCTCTCTCCTTGGTTTTATGTAAGGTGACATGCCATGAGGTAAAGGTCTCTGAGAAGTCTCTGAAGTGGCTGAGTGATGGAGAGGCTGAGAAAGAAGTCACAGGTGAGACCAAACCCGAGGCGAGGCGTGGCGGAGGCGACAGACTCGGGTCACGGACTTGGAGTGAAATCTGAGCCTGGTCACAGACAAAAGAGGGAGTAGGGTTTCAAAACCAAATCAGATAGGAAAGAATAGAGAAAGTCCTGACGCTTTTGTGGCTGATTCGGTTCCAGACCTCTGGGAAAGCTTCAGAAGGAGCCGGGCAGTCAGGCCTGGGGAGAGAGCAGCTGTGGACAAAGCACAGGTGGAAAGAAAGGCTGTGTAGGGCCCTGACTGCACTTAGAGGGCTGGGTTTCGTGAAGTTCAGGTTGCGTGTGCTCCACGAGAGCGTTCTTAAGATAAGCCTGACCGTGTCATCGACTCTGTGCAGTCCCTGTGGGGAGGGCTGTGGGTGGAGAGGTCCAGTGTGCTCCTGGAAGGCAACAGCTGAGTGGGGAGATGAGGGGTGTGCCAGGAGGAGAGACTGTTGGTGCGGGGGGAGGGGGGTGCAGAAGGGGGCCGGGCGGGAGCTCTGGGTTTCACCTGAATGGAGCTCCTTCACCAGGGATGACATGGTGTTGGTGATGGAGTCCGCAGCCACCAGCAGGTCATTGCGGAGGTTCCTCCTCGTACCTGAGGGGAGTCAGAGCAGATGGCGATGCCGGGTGGGTGGGCACTGGGGACACATGGTCCAGAAAATGCCTCAGCTCTGCCAGACCTGTGGACCTAAGTGGGTGGGGCAGTTCCACCTGCCCCCAGGCATATCCAGAGCATAGGGTACCAAGTCTATGGCAGTCTCTCCCTCTGCCTCATGCCTGAAGAGCAGGACCCATCAATTCCATGCTTCACAAACAACGGAAAGAATTGGGTTCCAGAACAGATGTTCCCCTGAGGTGTTCCTCAGCCTCAGGTGGGGCTTTCCTACCCAGCACAGCTCTCACCTCCCAGTCCCCAACCCCAACAAGACTTCTTTCTCAACCCCTGCCCAGCCACTTAGCACTGTTGGTCAGTAGCTTCTCGTGGCTGTGGCAATTCCAGGTTCACTGTGCCTTCAGCAAGGTCCTGCCTATTTAGAGTACTACCCTTTCTGTTTATGCTTGCTCTAAAGATGTTCCAGACTGAATACATGACTTTGGGAATTGTTCCATTCAGTTCCTCTGGAAGAGGCAAGGCCCAAAGGGCAAGGTACTTCCCACAACCCAGAAAAAGGAGCAGCGAACCCCAGGAGGCCTGTTCTTGGCACTGACACAAAGCCTACAGACCTCCCCTTGAAGACCTGCCCATCTATGAGAAGGGGCTAGCACTTGACTTATTTATACTTACTGTGAAAATCAGACCATTTAAAGCTAAGAGCACAAAAGAAAAGAAACTGGAAAAATCTCAGCAGGACCCTCGTACATGTGTCCAAGCTCCTCTGGGTCCCACTGTACTCTGCTCCAGAAACTCACCTTGTGCAAAGGCCTCCTGCACGTCTCCCCCAACTCCGCTCAGCGTGTCCTGGGGACAGTGGGTGGGCGTGGAGCCGGCCGACGCAGAGCGCACTGGCATGGGCATCGGGCGACCGCCTCCGTGAGTGGGAGATGTTCGCGGGGACCCTGTGGCCTGAGCCTGGGAGATTCAAAGACATACAATATGTTATCTCAGGTATCTGACCTCTTTGAGGACAGGAGAAAGTCCTTTTTCTCAGTCAGTCTGAGCTGCCAGCAGGCCTCAGTTCAGTGGTACGTGATCACACTTGAAAGGAAGGGGTCAGGCTGCCTCTAGGACTGGAGAGAGGAAGAATGGGGGAAAAGAAAGGGGCGGGGCAGGGGACAGAGCACCACAAAACAGACTGAGAAGGGCGGGAAAGAAGAGGCTCACTCAGGAGGACTGGCAGGCGGACCGAGCAGAGTGACTGGTGGGGGATCCAGAAGGGGTTGGCTCACATAGGGGAGGAATAACACACAAACATCATTCATTTCTGTTTGCAAACATGTTCATGTACACAATCTCATTTGATCTCCCAATAGCCCATAGGTACAAAGGGCGTATAATTTTATATCTGTTTTATGGAAGACAAACAAGGATGAAAAGCTAAGAGCACCACTGTGTCAGGTAGCATAGCCCACCAGTAGGAGAGGCGAGAATAACCCTTCCCACTCTACCACCCAGAGAGCACCAGCTGCTTCCTAGCAGTGCGGCCTGAGGCCGGGCACGCTGCACACACAGCAAGGCTTTCCACTGGCCACGTCGTGAGGATGAGGCATGAATGGACACTTTTCTCATGAAGGCCCTAGTAGAGTTGTAGAGAAATCTTGGAATAATGGGATAAAATAAATACAAGAGGAAAACTAGTTCAGGGCAGCTTGCTGAGATTTGGATTTGCTGCTCTTCAGAGTGTGGCAGGTAGACAGGGGTTTTCTGAGGAAGCAAAACTCGGAAAATACAAGGTGACGTGTGAGAATGAGTTCAAATGAAGACAGTTATCATTCTGGGGCTCTAGACAGAAACCCCACAAACAAACAGAATCTGCCCCTAGTGGGCAAATGGGCTGGGTGCACGAGGCTTACCACAGTGCTTCAGCCGTGTGGGCGCTGAACTGAACAGAAATCATTGCGTTCTGTGGTGTTTACTTTGATTCATTTGTGTGTATGTATTTTGAGAAATGTTAGAAGTACAGAAAATGGATTAACGCATTCCAAATTAATAATTATAAATACTGTGTTAATTTTACTTCAATCTAATAATGTTACAGATAAATCTGAAGATCTCTTTGATCACCAAGTCTTTCCTGACCCAGTCCCTTCCTCTATTGAGAGGCAACCATTATTATCAAAGATTTTGGTCGGAAACTTTTTACCTAAGTGTACATATCTAACTATAATACGTATTTCACACTTTTAAATTCTGCATGAATGGTATTATCTTGCATATCATTTTGCAATTTGCTTTTATCACTTAGCATACTTTCTGAGATTGATCTATGATACAAATATAACTTAGACCAGCGGTTCTAAACCTGTGGGTCGTGACCCCTTTGTAATAATGGAGATACATCACGGCATTAGGAAGGTTGAGAACCACTGACTTAGACCCTTATGCCATGTTATGAAAACTAACTCAAAATGCTGGGAGGCTGAGGTGGGTAGATAGCTTGAGCTCACAAGTTTAAGACCAGCCTGAACAAAAGCAAGACCCTCATCTCTACTAAAAAATAGAAAAACTAAGGCAAGAGAATTGCTTGAGCCCAAGAATTTGAGGTTGCTGTGAGCTATGATGCCATAGCACACTACCCAGGGCAGCAGCTTGAGACTCTGTCTCAAAAAAAAAAAAAAAAAAGCTGTTGTTGTATTACCTTTGATGTTGTACATGTAATCAAAATGTCTCCCTTTCAATATTTCCTTTATCTTCAGGTCAAGAAAAAAGTATATGTATATATCTCCAATAAGCACATGACTAGATGCTCAAGAGTATTACATGTTAAGGAAGTGAAAATCAAAAGCACAGTGAGATACTACTTCATACTCATTAGGATGGCTTTAATAAAAAAGATGATAACAAGTACTGGCAAGGAAATGGAGAAGCTGGAACCCTCATATACTGCTAGTAGCAATGTAAAAACAATCTGAAAGTTCCTCAAAAGGTTAAACATTGAGTATCCTAATACCCAGCAATTCTACTCCTTGGTATACCCATGAGAACTAAAAACATATATCCACACAAAAACCAGTATCCAAACGTTCATATCAACATTATTCAAAACAGTCAAAAAATGGAAACAACTCAAATGTCCATCAACTGATGAATGATTTAAATAAAATATGGTATATTCATACAATGGAATATTATTCGATAATAAGAAGTATTGATACCTGCTACAACACAGATGAACCCTGAAAACATCTGCTAACTAAAAGAAGCCAATCACAAAAGACCACATATTTTATGATTCCATTCACACGAAATGTCTAGAATGGGCACATCCAGAGAGACAGAAAGTAGACTGGTGGTTATATGGGGCTGGGATCAGGGTCTGGGGAAGGATGAGAGACTGCTAATGGGTACAGGGTTTCTTTTGGGGGGTGATGAAGTGTTCAGGAATTGATTATGGTAATGGTTGTACAACTTTGTGGATATAATAGCTGAATTTCATGTATGTATTTATTTTTTATTTTTTGAGACAGAATCACACTCACTTGTCCTGGGGTTGAGTGTCATGGCATCATAGCTCACAGCAGCCTCAAACTCTTTCGTTTGAGACAGAGTCTCACTTTGTTACCCTTGGTAGAGTGCTGTGGTATCATAGCTCACAGCAACCTCAAACTCCTGGCCTTAAGCAATTTTCTTGCCTCAGCCTCTCAAGTAGCTGGGACTGTAAGTGCCTGCCACAATGCCTGGCTATTTTTAGAGATGAGGTCTTGCTCTGGCTCAGGCTGGTCTTTAAACCTGTGAGCTCAGGCAATCCACCTGCTTTGGCCTCTCAAGTCCTGGGATTACAGACTTGAGCCACCGTGCCCACAACCTCAACCTCAAGCTGGAACCTCTTGCCTCAGCCGTCTGAGTAGCTGGGACTACAGGTACCTGCCACAATGCCTAGGGTGACCAGACCTCCTGATTTTGGCGAGACAGTCCTGCTTTTCAACAATTTGTCCCGTGTCCCGCGGCGTTTTAAAAAAGTCCCGATTTTTGGAAAGAATGCACGAATGGACGGGAGAACAAGAAGGGAATATACAGTTTTCGGCTGCCATATGGCTATTTTGCCAGAATATGAGTTTTATATTATTTTTGTTAATTTTATAATGTTAAACTGTAATAAATAATTTCTGAGAAGTGATTATCGAGAACTACTTATCAAAGTTTGCCTTGTTGTCAGGCCCTGCCCTGCGCCATGGCCTGCCCCCTGCCATGGTGTCCCACTAATCTGGTCACCCTAACAATGCCCAACTAGTTATTTTTTAGAAACAGGGTCTTCTTTTGCTCAGGCTGGTCTCTAACTCCCGAGTTCAAGCAATCCTCCCTCCTGGGCCTCCCAGAGTGCTAGGATTACAGGCGTGTGCCACTATGCCCAGCCCCTTGAATTTTCTACTTTACAATAATGAATTGTTGGCCAGCTGTGGTGGCTCACACCTGTAATCCTAACACTCTGGGAGTCTGAGGCGGGTGGATTGGTTGAGCTCACAAGTTCAAAACCAGCCTAAGCAAAAAGCGAGACCCTATTTCTACTAAAAATAGAAAAAACTGAGGCAAGAGGATCACTAGAGCCCAAAACTTAGAGGTTGCTGTGAGCTATGATGACACTATTGCATTCTACCTATGGTGACAGCTTGAGACTCAAAAAACAAAACATAACAGGGCGGCCCCTGTGGCTCAAGGAGCAGGGTGCCAGCCCCATATACCGGGGGTGGCAGGTTCAAGCCCAGCCCTGGCCAAAAACTGCAAAAAACCAAAAAAAAAGAATTGTACCACATGTGAACTATATGCCAATAAAACCATTATTAAAAAGACACCATTGGCTGGGCGCCCATAGCTCAGTGAGTAGGGCACCAGCCACATACACTGAGGCTAGTGGATTCGAGCCCAGCCTGGGCCTGCTAAACAACAATGACAACGGCAATAAAAAAATAGCTGGGCATTGTGGCGGGTGCCTGTAGTCTCAGCTACTTGGGAGGCTGAGGCAAGAGAATCGCTTAAGCCCAAGAGTTTGAGCTTGCTGTGAGGTGTGATG